GTTCCGCTTTCGAAGGGTAAGGGTGCTAGTGAAATTACAGGCACATGGGACTTGTCAACTTAAGTCTCAGGGTGATGGGTGCGCTTGCAGTGCCCCTCAGATATTTTATGATGATAATAATAATAACAACTCACACACTCAACATAGCCCCGCATTAGGGAAACCCTGTGTCGCGGGCATCATGGACACACACAGAGACAGCCACAAATTACACACAAACTCACGAGAGAAATAAATGTAGGCCATACAAATCTTTCCCCCTTGGGACCTCTGCGTGGCAATCCGGCATGGTAACCGTTCGGCCACTGACGCAGCTAATAAATTTTCGACTGAAATAAAATGAAATAAAAATAAAGCTTTGAGAGTGTAACCGCCATTGTTATAGACAGGCGTGTCGCTTACCACCAGACGCACGATTTATACAAAATATGAATGTGGCTGCGTTATCAGCCATCACCACGGGCTAACTGGTGATGCGGTGTTACATCTCCATCTCGACGGTAGAGTTTTCATCCACCTCGCTATATTTTTCAAAGCGCCGCAACACTGCTGCATTATTTATTAAGTTACCGGAAACTAGGTGATTTCATTATTTTATTTTCACAAAAATAAAAAAGTAACCGATTAAAATAAAAAATAAATATAAACACTTTCTTATGCTTCCGAGACATGGCTGCTCACGAAAGAACACGTGCACAAAATTCGAGTAACAAAGGGCATTGGAGCACGCCATGCTCGGAATTTATCTCCTGGACCACGTACCCAATGTAGACATTCGACGTCGCACAAAGGTAGTAGACGCGGGTACGAGGATAGCCAAGCTTAAGTGGAAGTGGGCGGGGCACTTGGCTAGAAGGGACGATGGAAGATGGACGAAAGTCCTTACTGAATGGTGGCCATGAGACGCAAAAAGACCAAGAGGCAGACCACCCGCTCGATGGATTGATGACGTTAAGGCCACAGTTGGAAACCACTGGACATGACTCGCAAGGGACCGGAAAGAATGGCGCAACAGAGAGGAGGCCTATACTCAGCAGTGAGTGCAAACAGGCTGAAATGAACGAATGAACCGAATAAAAAAAAATTTTGAGTGACACCAAATTTCTGCGGCTTAGTACAAGAAGAGAAGCAAATAGCAATATAGCTTCTTGTGAAAGAGTTTGTCCAGGGAAGTACTGCCACATTACTGCGTTCCAGTTTGGAAAGGTCAGGGTGTTGGTGCATTTATAGGCACATGCGACTTGTCAACTTTTGTCTCAGGACGACGGGCGCAGTGCCAGTACCCCTAAGATCTTTGCGATGGAAAGCTCTGAGTGGCACTGCAATTATTATGGATAAGCGTGTCGCTTACCATCAGGCACACGACTCGTTCGTCCCTTCACTCTTAGTATTATAAAAAAAAGTTTTACTTTTACTATAGTTTGAAACTCGTGAATGGCATATTTGAATATCAATCAGAAGCTTACTATAGAAGCGTATACATTGCATTGCCTAAATAAATTTGTGACTTTGTGAAGACGACGATCAAAAACTAGCTTTATTTTTATTCCTCGTATCAATAATGTTATTAATTTGGAAATTGTAGTAAAAGTTATAGGAAATTACTTACTCTTTTTAATAGAATTCAAACAAATAAAGCTTGATGGCAGTTCAATTGCTCCTTGGCGGTAGAACGGTTATTAATGGGAATCCTCAAAGTCATAGAATTCCTTTTCGAGTACTTGACAGCAACCGAATTGTTTTCCTTATAGATAGTGTCTAAATTGCGGGAAAATTGTTAGTCGGTAGAGGTCAAATTGGGTGAGAAGGAGTGTAGTAATATAGTTCACTTTATAACTTTTGTCAAGTGGAAATGGTTCGGCACTAGTAAATTTTCTACAGAATATATTTCGAAGAGTACGCCCATCAGCTACTTCAGCTCAACCCGCCTGCCCCCTTTTACCATCGGACATCCAGACGTCGGCGGAATATCATCCTTACGTGGTACTAAGAGCTTTTGTCATCTTTTATTATGCGTACAGCCCAAGAATGGAAATTCCTGTCCGCGACTGTGTTTCCGAGTACATACAATCCGGCTATCTTTAAGGTGCAACTGAATTACGAAACTCTACGGTAAAAACCAAAGAAAACAAAGATCTGCAACAAGCACATAGAAGCATCAAGCAAATACCTTACCTATTTCTGCCGCCAAGCATTGAGTGAGTATTATAATTGAGTTCCGGTTCAGAAGGGTAAGGGTGCTGGTGAAATTACAAGCCCATGGGACTTGTCAACTTGTGTCTCAGGATGAAGAGCGCAGTGGCAATGCCCATAAGATCTTTTCGATTTAAAGCTCTGAGGCTTTACAACTATTACGAACAGGCGTGTTGCTTCCCACCAGGCGCACGACTTGTTCTTCCCGTCACTTGGTATTATAAAAAAATACATAGAGAATTTCGTAAGGTCTCCTGACACGTTCCGTAGCTCAACTGGGAGAGTATCAGCTCCGGTATGGCGAGGTCGCTGGTTCCAAATAGCCGCATCGAAGGAGTTTTTCTTTGTGTTCGATCGTTGCACTAATAATAATAATAAATTAGTGGTAAATTAATTTAAATTAGCAAAAAAATTAGCAAATTATTTCACTTCAAAATAGCCAATACTTTAGGATGGGACAGAAGAAGAAGATTTTATTTTTTATTTTATTTTATTTATTCTAATTATAATAACGGACGGAGACGGAGATTATAATAATAATAACGGACACACTCAACATAGCCCCGCGGGGAAACCCGGTGTCGCGGGTGCCATGGACACACACATACACAATCACAAATTACACCCAAACTCACAAGAGAAATAAATGTAGACCTTTATTACCCGAATATTTGTAATATTTCTCCCGACCCGGGAATCGAATCCGGGATATCTGCGTGGCAGTATGCTAACCGTTCGGCCACAGAGGCAGTTATACTTCCAACGTTTCTAGGATATCGGAAAGAAATTATAAAAATATACACCTACCCGATGGAGTGCGATGTCGTTGGAACAGTCATTGAAAATACAATAAAAACGTCAGGGGCCGTAAGTTAACCGCTCTAGCTTCGAAATGTTGGCTGTTAAAGTGGTTTTAAGGGGATTCTCCATCGTAACTTTCAATTGCCATTGCAATAAATCTAAAAAAAGGAAAGTAAAGCACATCTGAGTTAATACATTCAATTATTACAATTCACACGAATTGTGCTACCGCTGCAACATGCGTGCTCAATGCCGTCAAAGTAACATCGCCACAAATTACTTAATAGTTACTACGTTACAGATACATCACTCTTATACAAAATCGAAAATACCTACGCTATAATCGCCTACTAAATTTGAGTAATGACACCAGGCACACTTAAAGGTACGCACTCATTGGATATTGAGTTACATTTTATTCTTATAATTTTCAGTTTTAGAAGAAACCAATTAATAATTCATTTATTTTTGTTAAGTATAATTAGTGTAACGCAAATTGTCTAGATTGCTGGATTCTTTTTCTTGTTAATTTGAAACACTGCAAAATCTTGATATTGATTGGCCGTAGTTTCTAATTTATTTATTTATTTATTTATTTATTTATTTATTTATTTATTTATTCACAATATAAGTTTACAGCGCAAGCCAAAGCACTTATATGCTAGTCACTATACATTAATTACAATTATAATTAATTTAGAAAGAAATAGCAAGTTCTGGATTGTTAATATAATTTAAACTTTACCGTGTTGACATATCGTAGAAAGTTCAATGCTCACTCATTTTAATCTTTTTAAATTTGGTTTACGTCACAATATGAGATGCAGCCAGTAGCATCGTCGACATGGTTCCCCAGTGTGGCAACACGAGTATTTAGGGCCGACGATGCTACCGCCTACATTACAAGTGATAACTATAAAAAAATGATAAATTTACAAGCAAAGTAAAAAAGGAATGAGGTACAAAGGTAGTAAACAATTTGTACTTATTAAATAATTAACATGGTAACAAAACTAGTTTTCGGACTATGCGACGCAGTGTTCCGGCTTTGGAGGCCAACTACAACCCGGACCACGTCGTCCCGTCCTGGAAGGGTTCGGGTAACTCTTCCACGTAGCCAGACGCCACGTGAAAGGTTACCATCAACAATCAAAACTTGGTCGCCCACCTCTATTTTTTTGTTGAAAGCACAGAGACTTCTCGGTATTAGTGTTGGTAGATACCCGCGAGTCCAACGCGTCCAAAAATGATCCGCTAGACGTAGGCCTCGTCTCCACTTCACTCGGCGGATTAGGTCAGCGTCATCAACTTCGGCCACCACTGAGTGAGGTGAAGATGAGCTCAGTAGGAAATGAAAAGGAGTATATGCTCCCTCCTCATCCGGGCTGACGCTAACATGAGTAAGAGGACGGGAATTTACCAGACACTCCGCTACCGACAGGAAGGTATGAAATACCTCCTCTGAAAGGGGTTCGTTGTGTTAGGGTAGCCGAGAGCGCGGTCTTGATACTACGTACTAGGCGTTCCCAGCAGCCTCCCATGAAAGGACTGGACGGCGGTATGAACTTCCATCGAATTCTTTGCTGTTCGTACAATTTACTAATAATCGGCTTCGACGAAAGCTGTTCCATTGTCAGAGTAGAGGGTGGTCGGGGTGCATCGTCTTGCGATGAATCTGCGTAGTGCCATTATAGCAGAATCAGTGGTCAGGTTCCCGACGACTTCGAGGTGGACGGCACGTGAATAGAGCAATATATCGTTTTTTGCTACGCCGTCCAAAGGTGGCCAGGACTGGGCCAAAGTAGTCGAGACTCACACGTGTAAATGGTCTAATATACGGTTCGGTTGGTACATCACCGATTGGAGGTATGACAGGTACTGCTTTGCAGATGCGGCAGTGTAGGCCGGAAGAAGCCATACTCTTGACTGCTGGTCTAACGCCGATGAAATGGTAAGTTTGCGTAGTTCGTTGAGGAGTCGGACAATTTTGTCTTTGCCTTGCAGGACTATGGGGTTCGGTGGTACAGAAGGCATGCCTTCCACCAAACTATTCTTCCAGATAGACGTAGCAGGTTAGTGGATTCTTCGACGAACAGCCTCAAATTCTTTAGGCGGCTGTTTCTAGCCGGCGCTTTGCCACTATTAACTTGAGCATAAGCTTCGTGTAATGAAGCTAACTGGGAGTGCAGAAGAAGGTGACGTTCTTCGCGCACCATATCTTCTGCCTTTGGCTCTCGGGACTCCGATGCTAAATTCGGAAAAATAGAGGTAGGCTCTAAAAGCGTCGCTTTGAAAATATTAGCGCAGACTAAGACGCGTGCGGTCCCTTGCAGTAGGCGTAACCATTTACTAAAACGCATGATATCAGGAACAACTGGGATAGGCAAATCTCGAGCAATGGTTAAGGCCACTACCTCAGAGGTAGGGCGTTTTAATTCTTCTGGGATAAGTAGGCGTCCCCTTGATCGCTTCATTGGCCATTCGGACTGAGGTAAGTTAAGGAAAGATGGACCCGAAAACCATCGAGAAGAAATTCCGAATTTATTATCGACACGCGTAGCGTCGTCCGTCACATTCACAGCCGTCGGTACATATCGCCTGTCGGCCACGTTCGTAATTTCGGTGATTTCGCCGATGCAGTGAGCAACAAACGGTTTGAATATACGGGGAGTCGCTACAAATCCACTTTAAAACCGTGAGACTATGAGACCAAAGAGTTAATTTTGAAATTTTAAATAATTTCTGCGCTTGCGCAATGTATGATGCGAGCCGAGCCGCAATGAGGGCGGCTTGAAGCTCGAGGCACGAAATTGACAGTGGTTTTAGAGGCGCGATCCGGGCCTTACCACCAATGAGGCTGAGCTTCTAGCCTCCATGAGACACTCGAAGCGCCAATAGGCGACGCATGCATAGGCGAGCTCACTTGCATCGGAAATGTGAAGCTGTGAAGCTGAGCCTATGGATGGGCTTGCTTATAGCTATATAGTGTCTGGGAATGGCACTGGAAAGCAACGCCTCACTTTCTTGGAACCACGCATTCCACCTCGCAGCAAAGGCAGGAGACAGCTCCTGTCCATTCGGTACATAATCGCCATGTTTTTTGAAATAAAATGCGACTGCGAATAGATATGGGCGTTAGGAGCCCGAGAGGATCGTATAGCCTCATCAAATGCGACAAGACGGAACGCTTGGTTAGCTTTTCCGGGTAGCTACCAAAACTACTTCTAGAGAAGCATAAAATGTCTTCGTATACATTCCAGTCCACTCCCAGCACTCTGACATTGACCGAAGAAGCATCTGAGCAAAGATCGGGTCTTTATGTTAGTAACTGCAAAGACGTAATACTTCAAAAATTCAAATTCAAAAATTATTTATTGTTCTTTCCACCTTAACAGTACAAATTACAGGGTATTTAAAGTAAAGAATATCATACAGTGAAATTGTGAGGTGGAATAATACTCGGTCCGCAAGTCTGCCTCTTACATGAGGAAGTCTGAAAGGAGCTCTAACCTGTATCTGCGAGGATCAGAAGCTTGTTTGTAAGAGTCAAAATCAGCCCATCTCGTGCGCAAGAGAGGCGTGCGCCTTCCAACTATTTCGTTACGAAGTTCAGGAGAAGGCAAATACTCAGAGCGCTGTAGCAATTGCACAACCGCCACGCAATTATGCACACGAAAGTGTTGATGATTTGCTGGTCGAGCAAAGCTAGTCTCAAGAGCTCGAATTACCTCCAGGGGATCATGTGCCGCTGCTATGAGTACAACCACAGAGTCCCGCGCAGCTCCTCGTAAAGCTGCATTGAGCCTTACAAGGTTCTCCGACGGAGTGAACGACAGACTTGTCGTAAATCTTCTTAAAGGTAAGCCAGTCTGTCGGTCGACCATCAAAAATAAGATGGGGAAAACATATCTTTGATGTTTTCGCTGCCGTTGTGACGTTGGCGATGGTTTGAGTTTTGAGTTTTAAGTTTTGTAAGTCAGAGTTTTGTAAAACTTTATAATCTTACAATTTTACATGTTATTATATGTGTAATTTAATGTTAAAATTTTGTATGTTTTGTGTACCTAGTGTAGCGTGTAAGTGCGTAGGTACCACGACCTGACGTTGTGCATGCGTCAGTCGCAGCAGCTGACGGCGGCGCGCCTGTGTGTGCGCAGGTCAACGCAGGTTTTTGGGGCCACGCAACTGTACATATTGGAGACGGTATTAGTGTACGGCCGGAGGATCTTGTTAACATATACATTACAACAACCTTTGTTAAATTGTTCATTATTATTAGTACTGTGTTTAACATTATCATGTAACCATTTTTTAATCTCGATAGCCACGCGGTCGGAACTGTGACTGGAGCAGCGGACGTGTGATGGCTAGAATGCTGACTGGCGCATTTTATGGCCTCTATTGCAGTCATTTCTGCACGGTGTTCTGCTTCGGCCACAGAGCGCTCTGCTTCCAAAATGGTGCTCGCGTGCTCGCGCTCTCGTTCAAGATCGCGCTCGCGTTTTGCACACTCGATCTCTGCCATGCGACGTAGGTGGACTGCCTCGGCTGCCAGCTTTTTAGCTTTGGTAGTGGCAGCTGAGGAAGTACTTGAAGACGAAATACTGCGCTTTTCTTCCATACCACGGTTTTTGAGCGAGTTAGCATTTTGCGATAAAAGGGGTACTAAAAAATAACAAGAATTACTTACTTAATACCACACGCAAAATAGGCGCCGAGTTGCGAACACTAGCCCGTTACACCAAGTACCAAGTACTTACGTAGTAATTGAAGTTCGTTGAGTTCTAGGTTTTTGGGGAGAATCGCTTTTTCTTCTTTTTTAAATATTAAGGTTATAATAAATAGGTTATAATGTACGCAAACAACCAATATTTTTCAAACATGAAATTTATCGAAAAAATAAAATCCTCTTCTTCAAAATTTACTTTTAAATAAAAATGAAGAAATTTATTTTCTTTTCGACCACTTCTGACCCCTCTTTATGTTACGAACACATTTGATCTTTTTAAATTTGGTTTACGTCACAATATAAGATGCAGTCAGTAGCATCGTCGACAAGAAGCGACCATATTAACGTTTATTTTCTCTTGGACAAAATACATATTATAAGCTAAGAACAGTATACACATTAAATTTTGGTAAGGATCATTTTGTGGGATTGTTGCTAGGCTAAGCATAAAAATGTCTGTGCGTCTGGTCACCAGGATATCACTTCTCAGAAACACAAGTTCAAAAATATTCACACAAGGTATTTTTAACACTACTAGCACTAACGGGAAATACTGTAATATTTATTACAAGCTTTATTTTCGTTCCTTGTAACAAAAAAATTATTCCGAAATGTGCATTGAAAAAAAAATGCATTGAAATTCATTTTCAAAACACAAAATACAGCTCTAAGTTTTGTTTGATGGTGGCTTCGTTTTGAAAGAGTTTTGTAAAGACCGAAACAAATGAAAATCTGAATGGAATATGTCGAGCGAGTACGGTGAAAGAGGTAACACATCACTGCAATAGTTTTTGACAGCTTTGTAAAAATGTACGTGGTTTTGAGTTATCATGATGAAATACGACATCTTTACGATAAAACGATTCTGTGTGTTTTTTTATGAATTATAAACTTAAAATATTCCTGCAAATTTTTAAAGTGCGCGCTAAAATATTATTTTCAAAATAACTATACAACGTTCAACATTGTAAAAGAAAAAAGCTCTATTTTTTGTTTATTAACCGCACGAAATTTTTAGCAACCCGTTACTAATGGTAATGACATAATGGTGTGGTATATAATGGGCTGGATTCCGCAACTTCTTAATTTATATTAATCACTGTTTCGAATCTATTAAGAATAAACTGAAATGAATGGACAGTAACAAAATATAAATTTATATTCTTTATTGCACCAAATAAAATACATCAGAAATATTAGATTAACAGAAAGTGAGCTTTAATGAGTGAGTGATTTATTGGGTATCATGATATTTTACTACCATGATATTCATCTATTTTTTGTGAAAATATTCCACTAGTTTGTTATCATTATTGACAAAAACAGAGAAAAATTTTATCGATCCGATTGAACACGTTAAGTCGACAGACGCTAGTCCACGTCAAATCGGATCTAAGTAATTTTTCCTCGTATTTATCTGCCGTCTGCTAACTAAAACGCGGCAGTGACAAAATAATTTTTTGAGATATCATAAAAAACAAAACCCAATTTTAGAATATTGAAATTGTTTAATGATATTTCTGCTATGCATCGTCAGGGTAAGTTCCGATAAGTCGATAAAGCTAATTTTAACAGTTTTTAAAAGAGAATTTTGTGCTCTATCTTTCGCTATTTAGTAGAGCTCCTTGTGAAAGAGTTCGTCCAGGGAAGTACTGCCACCTTACCTATTTCTACCGCCAAGCAGTAACGTCAGAACTTTGCGATTTAAAGCTCTGAGTGGCACTAAAACTGTTATGGACAGGCGTGTAGGTTACCATCAGGCGCTCGACTTGTTCGTCCCGTCACTTGATATAATAAAAGAAAATTAAAACGGATATTTGACTATTTGTTACTTAGCCGCTTTGTAATTAGTGGACGGCAGTTATTCGATCTTTGCATCAATAATAATAACAACAAAACTACATCAACTAAGTCATCTCATTAATGGATCTCCGCAAGATCCTCTCCATTCATAGTCGACCGTATTGCTCGCCCAACGCGGGTTTGATTCACACGTTTCATCACGATGATTTCCTTTGCCACTAGCGAGAGGTATTGCTACTAATATTTACAAATGTGCGTCTCCCATTGGTCTACCTCCGCTCTTTTTGTATGACATCTGTATCAAGTTAATCCATTGGGATTTCAAAGGCCGTGACAGATCCGCCAACCTTTCCGCCTCGTATTCGGCGCTTGAACGGAATGCAAATTAAGAGCAAAGACCAGTGATTAGAATAGGTAAATTTCTAAGTCCAAACTCATGGTACCACGATTTCATTTAATCAAGGTAAACGACTCTTTTATGGGGAAATACGTTTTTACAATAAAATTCCGGAGCATATATTAAGATTATGATTTCCTAAGTTTAGAAACTACAAATACAAAAATTCTTTATTGTACACCAAAAGTACATTAAAAGTATTTTGATTAAAAAGTCTTATTATAAAATTGAAGACAACATGTTAGATAAAAATGTATGGAAAGACGACATTAATCTAGATTCTACACAAATTTGATTCAAAGTGTATTCCATAGCATTTTATTTGAAAAGAGCAATCCGTAAAGTATCTTGCTCGTTCTTCTCAGGGAATTCAGTGTATTGAACGAGCAGTACCTTAAATGTGACGTTTTCAAGTGTGAATTTATTTTACCTAAGGAATAAATGATTCTTTGACTTTGACTTTGACTTTACCTAAACTTCGATAAACAGAGACATGAAACGGAGACTGCCTCATGACTACATTTGTTGGTCCCGGTCGTTTTCCGGATTCGGGGAATCACTTAGATATATTAAAAATGAACGTTATTTGGGATAGTTAGGTAGAGTATATTTATCTAAATTTAGAATTTATTTTTGTCGGAATTTTTATAAATATTCCGATCAGTGGCGATGACACATGGGCGCTACCGGTGCGTTGCGTTCCCTACCCTACGCCGAGTGCCACACGAGTCATGCGGTGTCGCAACGCAAGAGCGATGCCATGTACAATGCATTGCGTCGACGTTGCGTTGTGACGCTACATTGTACTACATAGAAACGGAACAACGGCGTGCCACCGGAAGCAACTTAGGGGATTAACACACTGCACCGCGTCTCGCGGTGGAGTACGGAGCTGCAATTTTTAACGTTGTACTGAAGTACTTCTGTTTGTATGAAAAACGCCCCCGCGTCGAGGGGCGCGGCGAACCGCAGGGCCATACCCTGCGCTTCGCACTACCGCGCAGATTTTTAGGCGTAAGGACGTGTTCCGTTTTCTACAATGGATCTCGACGTCGATGTCGTCGAAGTTGAAATGATCCATTTATCGATCTGGTTCGTAAAAAGGGATGTATCAAATAAACAAAAATCAAACAGATAGTAAACTGCAGCCTCTCTCAGTCCTGAATAAATTATGTGTTATTAACCATTCTTGTCAAGGAAGGTGTACGGTGTAATATCGTATATTGTGTTTATGCAGCATTTTGCGTATTCATGTGATATTTAGTTATATATCTCAGCTACATGTACAATCACTACGGCGATCAAATACGAATTGAGTATCTTAAGTGGCACGAGACTGCTGTCTCCGCGCAGATTAAACTGCGCTTGTCGACGCGCGGTTTAATTCGCAGGGCCAGATCTGTGTCCCGCGCACCGTCGCATGGCACGTGCAGTATGTTAATCGTCTTACAACAACAAGTACGTTGAAATCAATCAACGCAACGCCCATGTGACATCTCTTTAACGCTGATTACTTACGCAGCACCCCACTCCGCTTCGTCTCTTGGCCTCTTGCATTCCGTCGTCACCGAACGCAAGTGACGGGACGACCAAGTCATGCGCCTGATGGTAAGCGACACGCCTATAACAGTTGCAGTGCCACTCAGAGCTTTAAAACTCAAAGATCTAAGGGGCACTGCCACTGTGCCCGTCACCCTGAGACATAAGTTCATAAGTCTATATATATAATTTCATCAGCACTCTTACCCTTCAAAACCGGAACGCAGTAATGCTCACTTTACTGCTTGGCGGCAGAAATAGGTAAGATGGCAGTAATTCCCTGGATGAACTCTTACACAAAGACCTCTACTGCTACGAAAGTGTGGTGCAGCCCTTATATGTAAAGAGCCATGCTCACTAACCGCTGCGGATTGACGACTTGTTTGCATTTTAAAGCTAATATAATATAATATACTCATGTCAAAATAACGCTTTCAGATAATCCTATAATACAGATTTAAACCCTAATCAATATTCCTACTAACTACAATGTAATCTAATCAACATATAGCTCATAACTCCGTTAATGTTCTTAATCAATATCTGTCGAGTTACAGTTACAATTAACTTACGTTACTATAGTTAGTTATGGTTATCTTCCCGGTTTCATTAAATGAAGTGGTTTGTGAAGGTAACTGTTTACATTCTCAGTGCAGATTTAAAATCATGGCGTAAGTAAGATTAAATCTAACGTATGGTTAAGTAAGTACGAGTATAATTCTAGGGTTTGTAGTTGAGTTCGATGGAGTTTTGTTTTATGACACCAAGCGACGGGATGAACAAGTCGCGCGGCTGGTGGTCAACGATACTCCTGTCCATGACAGTTGCAGCCCCGATCAGAGCTTTAAATCGCAAAAAACTGAGGTGGCGGTGCCACTGCGCTGGTCACCTTTAGACATAAGTTGACAAGTCTCATGTGCCTGTAATTTCACCAGCACTCTTAGGGCGCGTTGTCAATATGTCGTAACGTTTTATTTATCATAATTATTAATACAAAGATCAAACACACAGAAAAAATTCCTTCGATCCGGCCGGATTCGAACCGACGTCTTCTAGCATACCGTGGCAGACGCTATACCAACTAAGCCGGAACGAACCAGCGGGCCTCACGAATTTTTTTATGTGCTTGCTGTCGTATCTTTGTATTTGGTTTTCCAACGACTTTTTAGCCGTAGCGCGATCTATGAGAAATCTGTG